CTTACCTTAACCTAACCTTAACCTTAACCTTAACCTTAACTTAACCTTAACCTTAACCTTAACCTTAACCTTAACCTTAACCTTAACCTTAACCTTTAACCTTAACCTTTAACCTTAACCTTAACCTTAACCTTAACCTTAACCTTAACCTAAACTTAACCTTAACCTTAACCTTAACCTTAACCTAACCTTTAACCTTAACCTTAACCTTTAACCTTAACTTAACCTTAACCTAACCTAACTTAACCTTAACCTTAACCTTTAACCTTAACCTTAACTTAACCTTAACCTTAACCTAACTTTAACCTTAACCTAACCTTAACCTTAACCTTAACCTTAACCTTAACTTAACCTTAACCTAAACTTTAACCTTAACCTTAACCTTAACCTTAACCTTAACCTTAACCTTTAACCTTAACCTTAACCTTTAACCTTAACCTTAACCTTTACGGTGAATAACATCATCCTGCTTACGCAGGGGGACACATGACCGAACGTTATTATTGTCCTACCCGGACATTAACGTGGGATTAACCACAAACCCTAATCGTTATCTTATCGATTCAGGGGGGATAACTGTGCTCACGGGACCTTATCATCCGTCTCTGATTGGTCACTCTCACGCTGTCGTTGTTACAATAGGATCTTCTTTGGAATCATCTTCGTTCCTAAGAATAACGTGGGCCGACTCCCACGCTGTCATCAGATCGCCTCGGCATTTGAACAATAAGGGGCGCAATCATTGGCTGATAAGCAATGGTAACATGTGGTACCCGGCCCGGATGCGGGTCCGACAATCCGGAAACTGACGTCCTCTCCTACGGAGCAGGGGCCCGGTGGATGGATAGGCCGGTCCGGCCCTTGTAACACATGGAACTACCTCGAGAACGACTCGAATGCTTCACGCACTGCCGCACGGCGCTGCCTGCCAGTTTGCTATATAAAGAGAAGACTCTGACCACTGAAGAGCATCTTGCAAAATTACCTAGCCCTCTCTCCTTAGTGGGGGGTAATCTGGTCATCATCGCCTCCTCTTCTTCTCGACAGCCACCACCACCTTGCGACCTTCGGCCGCTCGGTGGCCTCTTAACCTGCTGTCTGAACTTTCCCTGTCTGAACCGTCTGAACCTTTGAGTACGAGTGGTAATCCAAGGATCTAATAGCTAGGTCCATTTGAGACCATGATCTCAATTGGACTTTTGGTACTAGTTAGATACTATTATGGTGAAAACCTCTAATATATATCTTTTTTTTTGACCAGAAGTAAAGACTGACACATATCTTACCCTCACATATTTAGAAAATCATGGTACAAATAGGACGAAAGAGAGTGAAAACGTGATAACGCCCTTTACTGGGTTTCATAGTGAATGTTGAGGTGTTACAGTATGTAGTTTAACATTCGGGTGTACAAAATTGGCAGATATCTCCGAGAATATTACACCATTCATATACAGGGAACGACAAGGATAGAATTATACTGATTTATTCGCCCTTTCCAGGATCTTCCTCAGCTCGCTGATCATGAAGATATCATGCTCCTTATCCATAATGCCGTGACGGCGTACGTCTCTGTGATGTCTGCTAGTATCAAAAGATGCAGGATACCTGTCAACACCATGCGTTCCAGCGAAGTCAAAATCGATCAGCATGGCTCCTTCGTTTGGATGGAGTACGATATTCTGAGGACGGAGGTCTCCAAACACCAAATCTCCCCTGTGGAGCAACTGCACCGCCCTCTCAACGCGGTCAAGGATATCGAGGTAGTTCTTCTGTTTCGGACAATCAGATAACGGAAGACTCTCAACGTAGTCCGTCACGACCATACAATGGTCGCTGATAAGTCGAGCAAAGTACCGCAATCTGGGAGCTAGTTGTTCTGTTTCCAGAAGTTTATGCGCCGCTTTGTTATACCTCGCGGTAAACTTAACTACGACATCCGCCTCGCCATCCGAATCAATCATCTTTGCTCGGTATATAGCGTAGGGTCTTTCGGCGTCTGCTTCCTCTCTGCGCTCCTCCTGCATGACTTGGATGCATTGTCCGCCATGTGATAGTTTGCACATGTACTTAAGGGCTGGAATAGTATCATAATCTCTAGCGGGAAGCGGGCTGGGATACAGGTGTCCAGTAGTTGGTGCCGCTTTTAGGTCAAGCGCTCTATAATATTCCTTCAAGTCATTGTAGCAGAGGCGTAGGGCCTGACACATGCGGCCTACATGTAGGACCATCTTTGCTTGGAATGCGTCGATGTACAGATCTTGAGAAATTAGCTTATCCATGTAGACTCCGCCGATAAACATAGCAGTCGATATTTCAACACGGGAGCCCGTGACGCCGATAATGACAACGGGGCAATTAGACCTCTGAACATATGGCTTGTACTAAAAGACTCATGATAATTTAAATGGTGCTTCACTAATATTTGTCAGAACGTACCGATTCCTGAGCGACAGCTTTCCTAAAATATACCCAGCCTTGTAAAGAACTGTCCCCTCCCACGCCTGGCTCGTTCTTGTCTTCGCGGATGACTATAAGCGGATCACCCCAAGTTGCATCTGCTATACCCCCACGATCGTCCAATTTGGTTTCGTAACTGCCATGATCTAGTAAAACACTCTCGAAGAAAGGCTTTAAAAGGACCCTTCTTTGCGGTTCATTGTCGTATAATTCAGCGGAGCCCGAAATGAAGCTATGGCAAAGCCCCAGCAGCTCAGAACTTGGCTCCAAGTCAGGCTGCCAAATCGTGGGATCGTCGAGACGGTCTAGACGATGTTTGAGCCTGGCAAAGGCGTGGTGGAACAGCGAAGTATGTGGACCATAGTTACGAGCTGGCCTGTGAATGTATAGATCACCACGCACAGACCCAGAGTTGTCCTTAAGTAGCTTGATATCTTTGCTGATCTCCGATGGCGATCTAATGTCCCTGACATCGGCTGCCCTCCGGACGGACACTTGAAGTAGATATTAGGATTTGCCAGCAGCAAATGCTAGAGAACTCACTTTGAATTAAATTAGAAGGGGCAATGTCAAGGCCCGGCAACTTGTCACCAGCTTCCAAAACTCAAGATACTTTGAATAAGTCAAGCAAAATGGCTGAATAACTTAGCACATACTGGAATCGGTCACGACGACAATGTCTATCTTCTCATGATCCTCAGGCGCGGGACCTCTGGGGAAATATCGCTTAAGGCGATGTGCGGGTGTCATCTTTGAACCGCTGGAATGCTCGCGAAGCCACTCGGTAGCACGATTGAGAAGTGTGTTTTCTGGTTCCATGGACAACTCGCCACACTGCACAAGAGCGTAAGTACGGCAGCGCAATAAGTGCTCATAGCAGATGAAGACCTGACCTTGAGAAGAATAATGTTCTCGTTTTCCAAGGTTCGCCTGTAATCTGGAGAGCCACGAATCGCCGCTTTCAAGTCTGCTACTTCCGCCCCCTCTGGCACATAGAACGGATAACACTGAGCGCTGGGGTTATCTGGCATGTAAACGACATAGCGAACAGGCATCGTGGTATATTTGTGTCGGAAGTGATGGTTGGCTATATTCAGATGGAGACGTGACAGTTGAAGTTGAAGTTCAACCTGTCGTGTTTGCGTTGTTTGGAGATCCGCAAGCTTTAGCACAAACAACCACCTAACTCGAAATGAATCAACTGTATATCTTGTATCATATATCTGTCACGCTCGTATCCTCATCATCTAACACACCATCGAGCTTTTTGATTATGACCGCTTGAGCTGCTGAGGCCTCGTTCATCTTAAGTACGCCCTCAAGTCGTCAGGCTTGGTTTTACTCTATCTTGCTAGTGTTCCTGTCAGCTTCAGACATCATCGTTACATCATGGAGACCACTGAAGAACTACAACAACTTGAAATTATTGCCCTGAAGTCCATATATGATTGCGATTTTTTTGGAGTCACCTCCACCCAAAGCCTGGTAAGTACGTCTCCTTGGCTCATCAGCGGACTCATTCAGACGAAATCAATACCATTATTTTATATATAGACCGCTGCCAGGCTACCCGAATTCATCATTAAAGTTCCACATCCAGATCCAGCCCACGGGTTAAATATTTATTTCCATTTACACACGAAGTCAGTATTACTTCCAGCTCGTATTTGTTTTATCCTGATGTGATCTATTCTGTTTCTAGGTTTCCAAACATTTATCCCACCTTAGCATTGGCATGCCCTACATTCACTATCCAAAAGCCAATCAAAGATCTGAATAATGAGTACGAGAGTTCACTTGCAAAAGCCATGCATGCGGAAGCCCAACAACTTCGTGGTTCTGAGATGGTTTTCCAGGTTAGTCTTTCAACGTTTGTTGATTTCCTAGATAGTCTCATAATATGGCCATCTCCACCTTCCTTGGTAGATCGTGACGTTTGCTTAACAATGGATAGCTGAATATATTAACACGCCCATCGAGTCTCATGGTTCACTTGCGAACGAAATGACAAAACATACAACAGACGAAGAACGGGTATATTGTCTTCCTTTTTTTCCATCATTGCGCTCATCTATTATATTTCATAGGAACGAAGGCAAAAAGCGGAACGACAATACAGTGATCCTCAAGCAGCCTTGCAGAGATGTAAGTTCTATCCCTTCCATATTCTTTTGTGCACCGCTTGAGTGGAACTAGTACCTATATCACCTGGCCTACAATACTATGCAATGAGCATGCTTGTACCTGGCAAGAAAACCCATGTTTCTTGCCCGAGTCTTCTAGCAGATCTTGCTGCTATGTCGTTCCATTCCACCGCGACCAGTAGAACACCATCAATTACTGTGTCTGGTATGTATTCATATTCTACAGATTAGAGTATTCGGCTGTTCACAACATATCTACAGGGCTCAAAGCGCCCATGTACAGTAGCCATACCCATAGTAGCTCCCCAGAGAAGGACTATTTCAGAACACCTGCAGGGACAAGGCAGGCAAGTCGGTGGAAGGAAGACTGGGAGGAGCTGACATCTAGTCATTTTATCATCATCAATTTCGACTTTAATGTAGGGGAAAGGGGCATTCGGATCAGTCGTCAAAGCTCGAACAAAATCGACTCCCGCATATACGCTGGTACGTCGCTAAAAACGTGATTTGGTTTTCCTATTGTTCACAAGGATAATAGTCAAGGAAGTACGACTATGTACGTCTCCTCAGCTTAACAAGGATGTCAGAAGGAGCTAACGGGCGATACTCTGAACAGTTGCTGGTCCACCACCAGACAATTTCTTGACCAATACCACCACTGGCACCATTTACATGAACGCCCGGCGTGCATTAGCCGAAATAAATCTGAGACTCCCGAGAAATGCAGCTAATGAACACTCTGACAGATTCCTCCGATTCCTTTCTTCACGCCAGAAGAGTTTGGCGACAGTAACAATAAGTGGCAATCACTCTGAGATGCCTGAGTGCTGATCGTTGACCTCCTTACTAGGATCGTTATGGCACACGTAAATGTAAGACTGCCCAAAAGCAAGGCAATTTCTCCATTCCTCAACTTGCTCTCTATCTTTCCCTTGAATGTATCATTGGGTAGAATACAATCAATGATAAGTATAGCAAACTAAGGTAAGGGTAATATTTCTCAAGGCAAGAAGCATCGTGGGACTACGATGATGTATAACGTGCGTGAGTGCTAGCAAAAACAAATGTGTATCTCAAAGTACATGGGGTAAATGGGAATTGCTGGAAAAGTAATAATAAAAAAATAGAACAACAATCATTCCGAGTTAGCCAGCTTCAAGTAATGTACCGATCATCTTTTGAACACCACCTTCATGCAAATAGTGGAATAATACTAAGTGTGTGCAATGAGCAGGAGGGGTGGAAAATACGATGGAAAAAGCAAAAACAGCTAATAAAACACAATATAGTACAACCTTCAGAAGTTCGCCTCTCGAGGCAACTACTTCAAGGGGTCATTAAAGATAGAGATTGGGCGCTGTAGAGGAGCAGGCGACAAAGACCTATCGTCGTACCCCAAACGGGTCAGTCCAGCGTCGCGATGACTCGGATAAGGTCGATTTTCAGATGACGTTTGTGGGCGTGAAGGCGGTTCAGGATATAACACGCCAGACGGAACGGGGGCAATGTCGTAAGCCCCTCTCGAAGCCGCCCTACTGGCAGGACGCCTCTGTTCGCTCTGAGTTGGAGGTGAAGGTGGAGGACCAGAAAGAGGGATAAATCCCGCTGGCCAATAGGAAGGAGTAGGTGAGGAACTCGACCCAGAATCTGCGGGCTGAGCTTGATGGGATGTATGACTAGTTTGATGAGACTGGTTAGAATGCGAAAGGTCTTCGCTTGGAAGTTGGACTGATCTGCTGGCAGCATCAGGACTGAGGAGTTCAGGATGTGTGACTGCAGTTTCTGAACCATTAGACTGAGATTCAGACTATACGCAGACGAAATAAACGCGTGGATCACAGATCAGAACAGTATTTTTAAGCTTACCGGAGACTCGACAACGATTTGGGGAATGCTTGAGCTAGATGTGCGCTGTCGAAAACGATGTCTAAACAGATAATCTAAAGGTGAACGAGCTCTATTAGGAGCGGCTGCTGGAGGGGTTTCAGTACGGGTTTGCCTGCTTGCATCATTAGCTAGTGATGCAGGCATTATGACTTCCCTCGGCCTTCGTAGTGGTGGTCGAGAAGGTGGACGCTAAGCAATGATGGGTAAGCAATACAGTGATATTTTTTTGTTATTCATTGGAGACATCAACGCACCGTGAGCCTTGAGGTAGAAGACTCAGAGTTCTCCGCGCGCCAGTGCTCCGCTATACTCTCCGTTTCGCTCCTCTGTCGTTGTTCCTCCATCACGGGTGTGAGTTGTGGATGGCTCCCAGTCCATGTACGTACGGGTACGAAGTTGACGGAATTGACGCTGCTGCTACGTGATGTCAGTGTATCATCGTCTCTCCCTGTCGGAGCACTGACGAGGTCATATTGCGATATCCTCGTTGATGAACGTGATGATGCAGATATGGCACGCGAACGTTGCGATGGGTATGCATAATCATGCGTACGCACAGGTGGGTGATCATTGTCACTCGTTTCCGAAGATCCGAACAGTGCACTTTCTACAGGCTGTATCAACTCATGGGGAGAAGGCATAGCGATACGACTCGTGCGAGAGTCAGCGCGAGGGATCCATCCATCTGGAGGAACTGAAGTCGGGCGGAAGGTAGGAGACGGGCTTAGTCGGATAGGGATGGGATGAATCGTTTCTGGGCTTCGAGAATGAGCAGGTATGGGCAGAGGTAGCGGCTCATGGGAAGGGGATGGGAGTGGCCTGGGCGTCACAACGGTTCGAACTGGTATATTGGCTGCATGTGGCGCTGTATCATAATTACGCACCGGAGGAGCAGACCCTGGGCGATTGACCCTAAACGTGGCATTAGCATCACTACAATCGAGAGTGGAGTAGTACATATGCATACAGTGGGACCTGGCTTGATTGACGTCGGTTCGCAGCTGCAGACTGAGGGCGTTCAGCTGGCCTGACCCTGACCTCGTCGAATGGCTCCTCGTCGTCGCCGTCATCTTCTTCTTGAACAACGTATCGTTGTCGAGATCGATGACGCTCACTGTCCACAAATTCGATTTCTCTACCTTCAACGTATCCTAGTCGGCGACCTCTTGACCATCCCTCTTTATACCCCTCCTTCCTTCCTTCGTCGCGCGCCTGCATAACAAGCTTCTCCTCTTGCAGTTTTCTTGCAGTAGTTCGAGCACGTGCAGCATCTGCCTCTGCTTCGCTCTTTTGTGCAGCTACCTGGGCGATGATATCTTGGGCACGAAATATTTCTTTTTGCGCATTCTCGAGCTGAACACTATACAGTCTCAACTCTTCCTTGAGGCGGTTTACGTCCTGCTCTGCACGCTCGCGAGCCTCGTTGGCAGATCGAAGACGAGTGAAGTACTCGAGAGCGCGGTGTTCTGCTGTATCTGCACGAGCAGTTTCGTTCGTAAGGCGCTCGTTGGTGGCGGTGATAAGTGCGTTGGCCGCGCGTATATCATCGTCGCGAGCAAGGAGGCGTGTAAGGAGGCGGCTAGTAGACTCGTCCGCATTGGAGCGCAAACGATGTTTTGTGGATCTTGTCTGGCGATTGGCGAATAAGTAGTTGAGAGTGTCCGAGGGTGATGAAGGGGAAGATGGCGAGGAATCAACGTCCGTGGGGTGCCGATGGGCTATGTTGAACCTGTGTAAATGAGCTGATCAGTTCCAAGAGCAGTGGTTTATCTACAAGGAAAGAACTTGCCTTTCTTCATCATCAAGGTGTTCAGGGAGTGCCATTGATCATCTTCAATTGAGAGAATACATGCGTTTAAGGTTGATTACTGACATTGATTGAAGGTGAGAACTTACCAAGTAGCAATGCGCTTTTCCTGCACACAGGTGCAGCAGCGCTGGGGCAATTATGAGCAGCTAAAGGAGGGAGACGCGCTAGAAGTTGAAGCTGATATACTTTGTAATGTATTGTAGTAATCCTAAGCCTCGTGTACGCCGACAGGGCGTGTGCTGACGTTATCTTTGGCTACTGGTTCTGTGGTGTGATTCACGTGTTTCGTGCGTGGACGGAACATTCACGGATGAACAAGAAGAGATGTCGACATTTTGAGCTATTACAGGTGCTTTAACTGCATGGATTAATTGTAACCACCCTTCCTTGAACTAAAATGTTAATGAAAGTGCGTGTTTAGATGCCTGCTCACCGTCACTATTACGCATGTGAAGAACTACGACACCTGTGATGAGTCTGATGCGTGCGTCCGACGTTCATATGGTTTATCGCCGATGCCCAAAGATAGAAAGCGAACATATGGAGACAATAAGCCAATGTGAAAATGTATATGCAGTGATTGAAGGGTCTTGCCTACTATTGATGTAGAATAGGACTGGGCGTGGGCTGCCTCTGGTCCTTGAGGCCTCATCTGACCACAAATCGGATTAGGCGAAGATAAAAGCACCGCCTGAGTAATTCAGCGATGTTCACTAACGGTTCTAGAGCGTATGCCTCCTTAGGAGAGGATGGGAAGAAAGACCTGTGAAGACATCGCGCCGGATATCGTGCAGAAAACCGTTTGTTTGGCTAGAGCTTCAGATTTAAACAACCTTCAAGCTTATACTACGTTGTCACGGTGTAACATCAATCATTCATAATATGTTTTCTTTCGTGTCCTACAAATCGAACCCTGTAGTGGAGAAACAGAGCCTCATACAAAACGAGACATACAACTCATGGACACCATACCCATACCTGGATTTCTCATCCAGTTGCCCTCATTGACAATATATCGACTTCCTTGGACCCAGTCCGATCTCCTTCCCAGTATTATCTCTCATCGCCCGGACACCCCAAAATGCAAATTTGTACTTGGCTCCATTCCCGTGTCCTGCTTTCTTGTACATATTATCGTATGACACGCTGAATGAGAAATATCCTTCGAACAGTTCTCTCCATTCACCTCCTGTACCTTGCTTTACCCAAGCACGCTTCATCTTGAATACGCCTCTGGATGCTTTGATCCCGCATTGGATTGGAAGGCTCATTTGTGCTATGATGCCCGCTGCAGTAGGGCTGTGGTCTGGGGCCACCAATGAGGAGCGTTCAGAGGGCCTGAATGTCAGTACCTTTTTGTATACGAAAGATGTTACGTTCATGTCGAAAGGCCGCTCCATCATGGGATCAAGGACAGTCGAACTTTCGAACCTTCCATAGCTAGGTACGATTGTATTCATATCGCTACACGGTCCCAAATAACATCTAGCCGTATAATCATGCTTCGCCTGGTGGTTAAGAATTGTTTCATATAGCGATGCGTAATTTGGGCAAGAGGTTCCCGGAGGGAAGTAGACCTTGCAAAGGAATGGCAAGTACATGCCATAAAGGTCCATATTCCCAGAATAAACGGCAGGTGGGGCCTGCGGTTCCATCATCTGAGGCTGAAAAGTAGGATTAGCTCTGGTTTAATATTGACTACGAAGACCGTGTACATTCACTGGTACGGGGTGCACCAACGTTGGTTGCTCGGCACTGGGTGAAGGCGATGGCGGTAACGACGCCGTTGCTTTGCTGCGCTTTGCAGGTTTTCGCATTTGTTTTTGGTGAGGGGTATGGACCTCTTGTGGCGGGTTCCTGTTGGTGACCTCAGGTAAGTAAGGTCTCTTAAACGTTGTTGACACAACTGGGACTGTCAACATGCCCTATCACAGTAGTAAACATTCTTAGCGACGTTCAGTGTAAGAGCACATTATTGCTATTCTCACCGTCATTGTCGACGAAAAATTAGTGTTTGGATAGGGCGTGTGCTGAAACTTGAAGGAGTTGGTCAATGCGCGAACACATCCCGTTGATTTTACCGCGTCGCACAAGTCACGTGCGTAAAAAATCAACCTTACCTTCTAAAGCTCTCTTCCGAAACGCTTCTGAAAAGGTCATTCAAAGACCACTTGGTATATGTTCAGCAGGCCTATTAAAGTACAGGTTCAAGTAAAATGGCACCAAGAACTAGTGGATCCTGTAGATTCTGAACCGGACTCTTCTAAGTCCTCACTCCAAACACTCCAAGGGATTCCGGATCCAGACAAGTTAGACTGTTTACCCGACCTACTTCGACAAAAAGACAAACAGTTATGTATAAAAATTCCAAAGAACACTCGTTACCGTAAGCGACGTATGGTACTTTTGCGATTGATGCCTATTCCACATCCGTCACCTCTAAGACGGTCTTCCTTGAGATGCGCAGAGTAGCAATACTTCGCGTGCTGCTGATTGGGGGCTTCCCAACATACCTTGCTGCTCGGGCACACTCCTCAAAAGTCAGACGCTCCCAAAATTCGAGTCACCTGGCGACTACATCTGAAACATTGGATGTCCATCGAGAACAAATACGATATCGAATCCAACTTAGCCACAGCAAGCTAAAACATTGGGATTACTTGGTCGACCTTTGATAGCTGACTTGATGGCGTCCTCAAATGGTGTGGGAAGAAGAGCAACCGATGCGGTGGGCTTAACCTTGCCAAAATATGTCAAGGTTACTCGAAAGCCAGAGGTACTTGGCAAGACCCCGAATTCAATACCACCATTGAACACGACATATCCAATGGAAGGTTGAACAGTTTCTGGAATGACTTTGGCACAACCAAATGACCACGATTGACCACTACAGATGACCCTCCTTCATACGCAGTAAGAAAGGCGGTTAGGTTATCCTCGCTGGGGAATTGGAATTGCCTTCGTGGTTCGAAGAAACAGTATTCTCCTGTAGAACGTCATTACGCTGTAGAATATCTCGAACTTAGTGAATAGTTTTCCTTACCATACACTTTGAGCTGATAAATTTCCAGTTGAGGATATTCACCATCATACAAAAGCTCCCTGCGAATGCTATCAAACAATCCAGCACTCCCAGCATAAGTGAAGAAATTAGCGATATCGAGCTGCCAGCTTTCTCGTAGAACTCGTCGAGGACATCATCTTGATTGAGTCCAAAAGTGTTGGGTAGCACGCCTGTGAGAGTAACTTGAACTAGGATCAGCAGCCAGCTTTTAGTCGATAGGCAAACAATACTACTCACCGTCCTTCAGGGCCGTTGCCATAGAATAATCGAATCATGCGCAGGGAGATTGCATGTACCATTGCGATAGGGTACACTACCAACGATGAGGGATGCAAGCACCATGGGCTTGCGGTTGAAAGTGCAAGATTTTGGTGTTTTTGCTCATCACATCCATGAGCATGACAATTGGATATATTTTCCCTTGCTAGTTCAGTTCGTAGTTCCCCTCATGAACACGCAACCATGCATACGAGATCGTCCTGACTCACCTTTCACTAATATGGAGAAGCCAGATGCGGCATAAGATAAACACCCGAGCGCCATTCAACATCTCCACCTTGAATATGAACATTCCATACCCGCATCTTTCTCGGCTGAACTATAGAATGTCTTTTCGAATTTGAGTCTTCCCCAATGCTGTCAGCCCAAAAGGGACCAAATCAGCTTTTTGAAGAAATGCCACGTAGAACATCCTCTTGAAGAGCAAGTATCCTGCCGTCCTTGTGAACGTACCAGTGCCGCGGACACTAAAGTACAAGGACACCCGAAAATGGATGTCCATTTTCAAGTTATCGAAAATTCGAGAATGATAGCAGACAAGTGACTCATGTATTCGGCTAGGAAAGAACCATATCAGACAAACGAAGACCTCTGAAAAGGAAACCAAGATATATGACCTTCGCACACACACACACCTGCACTCTGACTCGACATGGACCGCAAATAAATGGTGATGGGGCCCTATGTGTCACCAGATCATGGTAATCGATCAAGCTTGTGTGAACTGAAAACTACTGATACCTATTCCTCCGTGGGTATGAGCGCTGATACGGTACACCAAGCAAAACGTGTCCTCCCGTTGTCGGACGTCGACTGTCAATCAGCAATGCTATAATGTGATTACGACAATAAACGAGGAAAAATAAGAGTAAGATGGTAAGTCTGATATACTAGACGGAAGTTCAACTGATAGTGAGAGGTCCTGTTCAATAAACAAAGGTTACTTGGACTGGCAGACAATTGGTAGACATACAGCACTGAGACGAGCTCCCATGTTTGGTTTGCATGAGTGCATAAGAGAATGGCACAAGTGTATATTCCATGACTGTACTGTCAAATCAATGATGGTTTTAAGTCTCGCATAATCACCGAATGAAGAACCAATGCCCAGTTAACGGCCACCAGAACGGCACGACTTTCTGATGAAGCATTTGTAAGGTCGATCCTAATAAGGGTCAGAAATCGCCGGTAAGGTATACTCGAGAATGGCAAGGTAGCTTGCCACGGTGGAATATGAATTGTCCTCGGCTTGATCATGATGAACCCAAGGTCTGAGGCCGTAAGATTTGTCGTTTCAACCAGGAAAAGATTCGCATCCAGAGCCAGTTCTTTCAAGTATGTGACACCATGAGCCCATCCACTCCGGCCACTTCTAGAGGAATCGATGGGCACTTTCCAGTTTAAGGACGTCTTTGCCGCCGTAGCAGAAAGTATAAGCGTATCTCGGTCCATCCAGGCAAAACATTGAAGCGAGAGAGGCGTTCGGAAACAGCCCTGCATTGTCCAAAAAAGGAAGATTCCGTAACGTCACAGTCAGCCGCTCTCCAGACGCCGTCTTCTGTCAAGTTCGAGCTGGCACCAGAACGCACATTCGACGGCTGTAGGCTCTTGCTGAGCCCACCACCAAGTTGTCTCACATCCTCTGCGGATACAACCTGTACCATTCTCTCGTTCTATGAAAAAAACCATACATTCATACTTTTGTCAGCTAAGAATGACTCTCGAGTCACCCATATTTTCCCTGCTACGCTAAATATCTGTCATTTTCAACTTGCATATTGCAATTCATGACAGTAGCACGCCGTTTGTTATCAGTATACGCGGTAAGCACGATCAGCAACTTTCTGTGAATTTTGCGTCACACTGCAGGCGACTAGAGCGGGTAAAGTCGTGGCTGGCAGTAACACCATGTTACAATATCCAAGTTATGCCACTTACCATGCACTCTCTAGATGCTGCAATACCACCATCGCTAGCAATTACTTCTCGCGGCGCCGCAGTTTGCTCTTCCAATGGGCATATTATCATTTGGTATTGCCCAGCATTCAATTGGTTTCGGGCCTACGAGCTGTTCAAAACGGCGCAAGGCTGTTGGTGAAACAGATCTTCACAGAACTCGTTGTTCAACACAGAGATATCGAAAACGCACACGCTCTGAGTTAACGACCAAATATGAAATATTACTATGCAAGTCAGGAATGGAGGTGCGCCGCCCTCTTACGCATTCATTTCCATGTGCCCTTAACATTCAAGTTCACATGTGCTTGACTCTTATCCTTCAGGAAATACATTCTCATATGTCGTTGTCCCCAAAATAGTCATTCCTTGCTTCTCGACTTTGTATTATATCTTCGTTTTTCATTCTATGTCCGTGACGTGGGACAAGTTGGTCAGTCGCATCCGAAAGCAACGATGCTCTATCGTTGATAGACCATATTCCGAGCTTAGCCGAAACAAAGTGTGCGCATTCAATGAGCCCATTCTTCAACGCAGAGGTCGCACACTCTCAAGCCCCATCAACAACCAAACGGGGAGGACCGTTATGTCACTATCAGGTAGGTACATACCCCCTCTAATATTCGTTTCTCTCTTTCACAGCCACCCAGTGTCGTTACTAGTCGCTCGCCTCGGAACATGAGCTCAGCCTGCTTCCTTCAGTGATAAAAGTTGCTATATTGCTTTCGCCCAAATCCCCAATCCCATTCATCTGTTTTTGGGTCATATCTTCATTCATTCATTTCCCGTAGCGTGGGACGTCTCTGCCAGCGATCAGAAGGTGATTGCAGAACGAAATTTTTATCGTCCATAAAAACATCAAGTTTAGCCGAAACAAACTGTCTACCTCTACCGAGCCCATGCTTCAACGCAGTGAGGTCACGCAGTTGCATGCCCATCAGGAACCAGATGCGGAAGGCGGATCTGTCACTGTCCCGGTGCATTGTTTTCTTACGTATTCATTCTCATCTTTCGCAACTATCCAGCGGGGCTTATTATCAACCGCTTCACTTACCTGTAGACATTCCTTAGGAAAACAAGTGCTATCGTATGTCGTTGTTTCTCAAATGGCAACTACCCGTCATTTGTATTACTTGATCCCTTCTATATCCGTATCGTGGGACGACTCCATCAGCGATCGGAAAGCAGCAGCAGAAGCCCTCCGGTCGTTGATGAAGTTGATCGATCATTTATCGTGGTGTATAAGTTTGGCCCTGCAGGTAGGCCGGTGAGCACAGTATGATCCGTGGTCGTAGGGAGAACTAACCAACCTCAGCCTCTACTTCCACCTTTTCCCTCGGAGGCTAAACTCTCAAGGGATCAAAGTGTATATCGTTCTTCGTTCTAGGCCGTGTATTTTGATGACAGTGAACACATTCGATATGATGGTGGAATATTACTCGCGGACTGACAGTTCCCATCCCGTGAGCCGTCATCGTGTACTGTGTATGTTTCACGAAATTTCACATTGACTTTTCTTACCCTTATCACTATACACAAATGACTACTTATTGGTTCGTTCTTTTCCCCCTATTTGTAATTGCTATCTCTGACATGTGTTAAATGATCTGCCAGGAGGATAGTTGGCTGTTCCCAGCAGGAAACGCCGCTGACTCGAGCACGAATTTTGGTCACTATCACGTCCATCCACCCTCATACCACCGCAGTTTTTGAGAGAACATAGGTAAGCCGAGTTTTGCAAGTCACGCAAAAGAAGACCTCCAAGTTCCTTGAATTAATAGACACCTTCTCATTTTACACAGCCTGCCTTTCGATCTGGAGATAAAAACTGAACCTTGTGCTCAGCAGAACTGGTTGTATGTTATCTATCCCAGGCACATTATCTCTCTCCGCTGTATACTGCATCCACGCAAACAAAGACTGTTTTCAAACAGATCAATTGTCCCCGCACGGTACGAAACTCCCGCAGGCCAGACCAATGGTAGAAGGCGTGAGTAATAGAAGCACCATGTCGATGTCCAGCTTTGGGCGCCTCGGAGCCTGCCATGGGACATGGTCCGGTGCCCACCCTGGTTCCATGCGTGTCGTCGACGTGTCCCCCCCCATCTGGACTCACGAGCGTCACTTTGTTCTTGAGGAGATGCTTCAAACAAGGAGCTTTGAAGCGCTGGAGATCCAACTTAAGCTGCACCGACTTGCGCAGATCTTCCTCGACCAGGTGTGTCGTCTATCCATCTTTTCTGCCACCCCTTCGACGCGTTGTTTGGATCTGAACAGCGGTTTTATCTCACTTACGAGCGTCTTTTATCCGTCAACGTCGGTTCGTCCATAGGGCTGTACCACCAAGTATGAGCTGTCTGTCTACGATAACGGATTGAACGAGTCCGCGTGTGCGGTTTTCTACACATTTAGGAGGGAATGGAGGAGATCTTTTGAATTGCGGCAGTGTTCAGTGTTGACGTGTGGGTTCTTGACAGGCGAGATGATCTTTTCCATATACTCTTCCAATTCCCTGACATGTCATTCGCAGCAGCCAATCCTGTCGGCGACTAAAATGGAGGAAAAGTGTCACGGATAACTGGCGCCATGGGTGTTCTGTGTTTGAAGATCCCAAACTACTCGTATTGGCGCACAGAGTCGAGTTGCAGATCTTCGCCAACTCCTATTTATTACTATCATCTCAAGACGCCTCACTTCTCCGCCACCGTCGGTCTTCAGTGAGCGTCAGCCCAGTATCTATGTATAGCTGCCTTGCACAACGGGATTAGCGAATGAACGGACGGACGATTATGCGCTAGTGATTCTTTGTTTTGTTTTTCGCAGTTGGAATGTATGAGAAAAAATGGATGCAATGCGGGGAGCGTTATGGTGCGGCGATGGTTGACCGTGGGTGTAGTTTGATCCTTGACAGGTGGATGATACCCTTTCTAGATCATCATCAGCATGCACACCGCACTGCTCTCTCACATCCCCAACTTCCGATACTGATGGCAGTATAGTGTATACTGATTTTTTTGGGATCATGAGCTGGCATTGTTCGCACCCTATAGTACCCACAACCATTCTTCGCGGCTAGAACAGGCGGGCGGTAGTGTCTTGGATAGATCGATAAATGGTAGACACGCATGCATACACTGGCAGGTTTTTTTTCTTGAAGCCGAGCCGAGAGGGCAGGCCGAGACTGATAGCCCAGCATAGCCCCTGCTCTCCTCCGAATAATCCGCTCTGTCATAACTGCCGTACCGTACAGAACTCATGTCGTATGACTCTTATCCCACCTACAATGAACGACGACGGTGATAAGGACAGCGACAGTTGAACACCTCACAGATTTAAAAACTCGAACGTGCCTCGCATGATCGATGATGAGCATCTATCAATAGGTCCGTAAGGAGGGAGAAACATGCATCCACGCACGTCGCACAACCGAATCCGAGTCCACGCACTCAGACAAGTCCAACGTCCCGCATGGAGATTCAGAGGCTTTTACGCTCTCGAGCTCAGCTTCCAATTTTGACTTGGAGGCTCAAAAAGGCACTGACTCGGGGCGCAAACCACGCGGGGTGAGTGTCGATATTAACTGGAGTGGCTGCCCTGAGCGGAAGGAGTGGGCTGATCATGATCTCAGCGAGTATGTGTTATCGTTCCTGAGGACTGAGGCACATAAAGCATAATGATTCGGCGTGTTAAGGCCTGAAAAGCCTGAAAGCTTGCCTCTCTGCTTGGTGCTCTCCAAGTTACCGTGTTAGCGCGGTACTAGCCCCGACGTGCACCGCCATCAGCATTGTTAATCCCTTTTTTTTTTTTTCTGCATGGCTCTCGAGGCGTTGCTGTCATTGAGCTCGGGGGTCGATGAAATACTGTACTCAGTTTGATGATATATATTATACTTGCCAGAGAAATCAGAAGAGGCTGAGATTGTGAATATAGGCACGCTTGTTCTATTACATACGTGTTGATCGAATAATTGGGTTCGATGATAGAAAATTTTCAGGAACAGTCGGCGCTCACGCGTCTCTCTTCGCGGTCTCGCACTATTTCCAGGAACGAGGAATCCTTGCACTCGCTTCTTTTAAAAAATGGATCAGAGGGATTTCTCGTAAGGTTGACAACGTTTAGTGGTTACTGTAAAAGTACATTATATAAAACAACTCGCCGGCGCCGATCAGGTCGAGGGATGAAGAGGAAGAGTTAGCCAATTGATGGGGGGTATTTGGTTTCCC